ATGGTGAAAACCCATCTCTACTAAAAATTTAAAAAATCAGCTGGGAGTAGTGGTACACACCTGTTATCCCAGCTAATTCAGAGGCTGAGACAGAATTGCTTGAACCCGGGAGTCGGAGGTTGCAGTGAGCTGAGATTGTGCCACTGCACTCTAGCCTGGGTGACAGAGCAAGACTCTGTCGCAAAAAAAAAAAAAAAAAAAAAAAAAAAAAAAACCGGGCCAGGTGGCAGGCGCCGGTAATCCCAACTACTTGGGAGCCTGAGGCAGGAGAATCGCTTGAACCCAGGAGGCGGAGGTTGCCGTGAGCCGAGGTCAAGACATTGCATCCAGCCTGGGCAACGAGAGTGAAACCCATCTCAAAAAATAAATAGGCCAGGCATAGTGGGTCACATTTGTAATCCCAGCATTTTGGGAGGCCAAGGTGGGCAGCTCACCTGAGGTCAGGAGTTCAAGACCAGCCTGGCCAATGTGGTGAAACCCCATCTCTACTAAAAATACAAAAAATTAGCTGGGCATGGTAGCACATGCCTGTAATCCCTGCTACTTGGGTGACTGAGGCAGGAGAATCGCTTGAACCCAGGAGGCAGAGGCTGCAGTGAGCCAAGATTGCATCATTGCACTCCAGCCTGGGCAACAAGAGCAAAATTCCGTCCAAAAAAATAAATGAATAAAACAATTGCCCGAGCCTGGTGGCTCACGCCTGTACTCCCAGTACTTTGGGAAGTTGAGGCAGGTGGATCACAAGGTCAGAAATTCAAGACCAGCCTGACCAAGATGGTGAAACCCCATCTCTACTGAAAACACAAAAATTAGCTGGGTATAGTGGTAGGCGCCTGTAATCTCAGCTATTCAGGAGGCTGAGGCAGGAGAATCACTTCAACCTGAGAGGCAGAGGTTGCAGTAAGCCAAGACTACGCCACTGAAATCCAGCCTGCGTGACAAAGCTAGACTCCATCTCAAAAAATAATAATAATTATCCCATTACATGATTACATCAATATTTTTAATTTGTTGTTTTTTTTACCAATTTCTCTAGGAGCTGGAATATCTATTAACTGTTAATTTATTAATATATAATCTCATATATTTTATATATATATATATATATATATATATATATATACATTTTTTTTTTTTTTTTTTTGAGACGGAGTTTCGCTCTTGTTACCCAGGCTGGAGTGCAATGGTGCGATCTCGGCTCACTGCAACCTCCGCCTCCTGGGTTCAGGCAATTCTCCTGTCTCAGCCTCCTGAATAGCTGGGATTACAGGCACACACCACCATGCCCAGCTAACTTTTTGTATTTTTAGTAGAGACGGGGTTTCACCTTTTTGACCAGGATGGTCTTGATCTCTTGACCTCGTGATCCACCTGCCTTGGACTCCCAAAGTGCTGGGATTACAGGCTTGAGCCACCGCGCCCGGCCTATATTTTTTTTTTCAAGACAGAGTCTTGCCCAGGCTGGAGTGCAATGGCACAATTTGGCTCACTGCAACTTCGCCTCCTGGGTTCCAGCAATTCTTCTGCTTCAGCCTCCCAAGTAGCTGGAATTACAGGCATGTGCCACCATGCTTGGCTAATTTTGTATTTTTAGTAAAGACCCGTTTCACTATGTTGGACAGGCTGGTCTCGAACTCTTTATCTCAGATGATCCACCTGCCTTGGCCTCCCAACGTGCTGGGATTACAGGCATGAGCCACCACGCCCAGCCGGAATTAATATATTTTTATGGAAAGAAAGTTTTCCAAAAATGACTAGTGAGAAGAGTGGCACTGTTTTACTTTTTTTTTTTTTTTTTTGAGGCGGAGTTTCACTCTTGTTACCCAGGCCGGAGTGCAATGGCGTGATCTCGGCTCACCGCAACCTCCACCTCCTGGATTCAGGCAATTCTCCTGCCTCAGCCTCCTGAGTAGCTGGGATCACAGGCACGCGCCACCATACCCAGCTAATTTTTTTTGTATTTTTAGTAGAGACGGGGTTTCACCAGGATGGTCTCGATCTCTTGACCTCGTGATCCACCCGCCCCGGCCTCCCAAAGGGCTGGGATTACAGGCTTGAGCCACCACGTCCGGCATTTTTTTTTTTTTTTTTTAAGATGGTTTCTCGCTCCATCGCCCAGGCTGTAGTGCTGTAATGTGATCTCAGCTCACTGCAACCTCCGCTTCCTGGGTTCAAGCTACTCTCCTGCCTCAACAACCTGAGTAGCTGGGATTACAGGCACATGCCACCACCCCTGGCTAATGTTTTACATTTTTAGTAGAGATGGGGTTTCACCGTGATAGCCAGGATGGTCTCAATCTCCTGACCTCATGATCTACCCTCCTTGGCCTCCCAAAGTGCTGGGATTACAGGCGTGAGCCACCATGCCCGGCCCTAGTTCGTTTATTTTTAAAACATAGCCTCACTATGTCCAAACTGTTGAACTTCAGAGCTCAAGCAATCCTCCCACCTCAATCTCCTGAATAGCTAGGATTGCAGGCCCATGCCACCATGCCTGACACCACTGATTTTTTACATCAGTTTTACAATGATTTTTTACATCATTTTTTGTCAACAGAGCAAAAAAGGCAAATAAAGTCTGAGTATTATTAACAAAACCTCCCAAAAGGTCTCAGGAACCCTGTGGTCTGCTGATTGATCACACTTTAAGAACCACTGCTTGCCAGGCGCAGCGGCTAACGCCTGTAATCCCAGCACTTTGGGAGGCTGAGACACGCGGATCACAAGGTCAGGAGTTCAAGACCAGCCTGGCCAACATAGTGAAACCCTGTCTCTACTAAGGATATAAAATTAGCCAGGCATGGTGGTTCATGCCTGTACTTCCAGCTACACAGGAGGCTGAGGCAAGAGAATCACCTGAACCCGGGAGGCAGAGGTTGCAGTGAGCCGAGATCGTGCCACTGCACTCCAGCCTAGGCGATAGAGTGACACTCTGCCTCAAAAAAAAAAAAAGAACCACTGCTCTGGACCTGTTTCGCGTCTTTAAATCAGGGTAATCATACCGATGTCTTAGAAGTGCTGTGATAGCAAATAATGTATGTAATAAAGCATTCAGAACAAAATTTAATATATAGAAGGTACATCATAAATGCTACTACCCTAGATAGCCCAGCTGGAATAGCTCTGTCCCTTTAGCCAACATTTTTCTCACCTTACATCATACTCAAAATTCTATATTTGCAACATTTCACATGTATATATATCTTAAGCATTCTTTGTCTACTTCTTCATATTCGGTTTTGTTTGTTTGTGCTAAAACATACCTAAAACTTAGCATTTTAACTAGTTTTAAATGTATAGGGGAGGTCGGGCGCAGTGGCTCACACCTGTAATCCCAGCACTTTGGGAGGCCAAAGCAGACAGATCACTTGAAGTCAGGAGTTCCAGACCAGCCTGGTCAACAGGGTGAAACCCCATCTCTACTAAAAATACAAAAATTAGCTGGGCGTGGTGGTGCGTGCCTGTAGTCTCAGCTATCCAGGAAGCTGAGGCAGGAGAACTGCTTGAACCCGGGAGGTAGAGGTTGCAGTGAGCCGAGATCCCACCACTGCACCCACTCCAGCCTGGGTGGACAGAGCAAGACTCCATTTCAAAAAAAAAAAGTACAGGGCAGTGCTTTTAAGTACATTCACACTGTTATGCAAAAGAGGTTTTTGTTTGTTTCTTTGTTTGGAGACGGAGTCTCGCTCTGTCATCCGGGCTGGAGTGCAGTGGTGCGATCTCGACTCACTGCAACCTCCCGGGTTCAAGCGATTCTCCTGCCTCAGCCTCCGGAGTAACTAGGCTACAGGCGTGCGCCACCATGCCCTGCTAATTTTTGTACTTTTGGTAGAGAAGGGGTTTCACCATGTTGGCCAGGCTGGTCTTGAACTTCTGACCTTGTGATTTCCCTCCCACCCCCACCGCCGCCTCGGCCCCCAAAGTACTGGGATTACAGGCGTGAGCCACCACCTCAGCCCAGGAGTTTTTATCTGATTCGTCTAGGGTCATTTTCATTTTATTTACCTTCACATTTATCAAATTATTTCTTTCACAGGTGACCAGATTCAATTCCTTTTGAGACTCCTTATTTCTCTAGATGTATTTTTACATTTTGCATTCTTTTTTTTTTTTTTTTTTTGAGACAGAGTTTTGCTCTTGTTACCCAGGCTGGAGTGCAATGGCGCGATCTCGGCTCACCGCAACCTCCACCTCCTGGGTTCAGGCAATTCTCCTGCCTCAGCTTCCTGAGTAGCTGGGATTACAGGCACGCGCCACCATGCCCAGCTAATTTTTTGTATTTTTAGTAGAGACGGGGTTTCACCATGTTGACCAGGATGGTCTCGATCTCTTGACCTCGTGATCCACCCGCCTCGGCCTCCCAAAGTGCTGGAATTACAGGCTTGAGCCACCGTGCCCGGCCAACATTTTGCATTCTTATTATTCAAACGTTATATTTATTTATTTGGAGACAGAGTTATTTATTTATTTACTTAGAGACAGTCTGTCGACCAGGCTGGAACGCACCCGGCAACCACCGTCTCCTGTGTTCAAGCGATTCTCATGCCTCAGCCTCCTGAGTAGCTGGCACAGGAGGCGCGCGGCACCACCCCCGGCGAATGTCTGTATTTTTTGTAAAGACGGGATTTCGCTATGTTGCCCAGGCTGGTCTCGAACTTCTGGCCTCAAGCGATCCGCCCCCCGCTCCCCCACCTCGGCCTTCAGAAGTGTTGGAATCGCGTGAGCCACCACGTTAGGCTGCCTCAAAAATATTTTGGCCTGTTTATCTAAGGGTATGCCCTACAGACTGGGCGCAGTGATTGCACAAAAGTAAACGTCCTCGGCAGCTACATATCTATTTCTGTAACGTACATTCACTAGCAAGGTCCCGCGCGAAGGTTTCACTACCGCGAGAGACCTCCGAGACAGGCAGGGGTGGGGCTCAATCTGCAGTAGATTCCCAGAAGCATCCGCGAGTTTCTGATTCTATAACTGCGCATGTTCCTGCGCACGCGCAATAGACATTCCGTGACTTCCGGGCACTTCGTAAGGTTTAAATAAGGTTGCTTTGCGGTAGCTCGGCCTCTTGGGGACAGTCTCAACCGTCGGCTCTTCGGCTCGGTGAGTATTGTCAGATGCCTCCTAGCCGAGCTGTAGTTTTAGGACCTTGGATCAGTAACCAGGCTTCCCTATGAAAATCATGTTGTTTTTTGGTTTTTTCTTTTCTTTTTTTTGAGACGGAGTCTGGCTTTGTCACCCAGGCTAGAGTGCAGTGACATGATCTCGGCTAACCACAACCTCCGCCTCCCGGGTTTAAGCGATTCTCCTGCTTCGGCATTCCGAGTAGCTGCGATTACAGGCATGCGCCACCACGCCCGGCTAGCTTTGTATACTTAGTAGAGATGGAGTTTCTCCATGTTGAATTTTGGGTTTTTTTTTTTTTTGAGACAATTTCGCATTGTCCAGGCTGTGGTGCAGTGGCGCGAACTTGGCTCACTGCAACCTCCGCTTCCCGGGTTCAAGCAATTCTCACGGTTCAGCGTACTGCGTAGCTGATACAGGCCCCCGCCAGCACACCCAGCTGATTTTTTTTGTATCTTTCCCAAGCTGGTCTCGAACTTCTGAGCTTAGACCATCCGTCTGTCTTGGCCTCCCAAAGTGCTAAGATTAAAGGCGTGAGCCACCGTGCCAGGCCGGTTTGGGGGGGTAGTTTAACGAGTCCACGTGTTTGATTTGAATGTAGAATAGCTAAGCCTAATTGTCTCTGCTTCTGCTGCACCATCCGCATAGTACTGCCTTCCTTTTGAAAAGTAATCAGAATGGCCGAATGCATCATGTTATCGGTCTATAAGCCGATTTTTTTTTTAACACGCCATCTGTGGACAGGATGGAAACTCGTTTGCGCTCTGAAGATCTGTAGTAACATGGATTTTTCCGGAAAGCCTGTAACAGCTAGATTAAACCGTTTCCTATTAGGTTCTGTAAATTTCATTCGTTACACAGATTATCCAACGTGGATACACCCGGGAGGTCACTCTCCCCGGGCTCTGTCCAAGTGGCGTAGGGGAGCATAGGGCTCTGCCCCATGATGTACAGTCCCTTTCCACAACGTTGGAGATGAAGCTGGGCCTTGAGTCTGCGCCTGCATATTCCTACAGCTTCCCAGAGTCCTGTGGACAATGACTGGGGAGACAAACCATGCAGGAAACAGCCTTTCAGAGCATCGAATCTGGATTGAAATCTTAACGCGTTTCAGAAAAACTGACTAAAACGTAGCCAGGCATGATGGTAGGTAGCTGAAGTCGCAGCTACTGGCGAAGCTGAGCCCAGGAGTTGCAGGCTGCAGTGACCTATGATTGTGCCCTCCAACCTGGGCAACAGCCATAGGCCCCTCTTTGAAAAAAATTAGTGCTTTACTGTACTAATAGGTTAATACTTTCTTTTGCAGGATTCGTTAAGTATTCCAAGTAACACTTGGTAAGTAAATCTTACTGTTTTGGCTTATCAGCTCTTTGTCAGTGATTTCTGTAATGGAAGTAGGATTGAAGAGACCTTTTATATTCTAGTTGGTCAGGATTACTTAAGGCATTTACTCATTCTCAGAGGAATACTTTTGTTTGATATATCCAAATAAAAACTTTGCTGCATTTTTGTAGGCATTTGACATAATTTCAACATAGGTTCTGTGTGTGCTATAAAAATTGCTTTTTTTAGTCAGTTCATTAGGAGGGTACAAGGTAGTAAAAGCTACCCTGATGAACTGTAGGAACCCTAAAGAGCTTTATCTACATGTGTAGCCTGATCTGAGAAAAAGGTTCTAGCTCTTGAAAATGTGGATGGTTAGTAACATTGGATTTCTCAGTTACTCCAACTCCTAAGGAGCAATCCAACGTGGATACCCTGGGAGGTCACTCTCCCCAGGCTCTGTCCAAGTGGCGCAGGGGAGCATAGGGCTCTGCCCCGGGATGTTGCAGTCCCTTTCCACAACGTTGGGAATGAAGCTGGGCCTCGTGTCTGCGCCTGCGCTCTGCAAATTTTATTCATTACACAGATTATCCAACGTGGATACACCCGGGAGGTCACTCTCCCCGGGCTCTGTCCAAGTGGCGTAGGGGAGCATAGGGCTCTGCCCCATGATGTACAGTCCCTTTCCACAACGTTGGAGATGAAGCTGGGCCTTGAGTCTGCGCCTGCATATTCCTACAGCTTCCCAGAGTCCTGTGGACAATGACTGGGGAGACAAACCATGCAGGAGACATGTCTAGGGTGCCAGATTTTAAGCTGAAGTAGGATTTCAGGAGTTTAATCATTATTTCTTTTCCTTTAGGAAAGAAGAGGATCTGCACTGCATTGGGCATTGACATTGAACTTTTGGGTCCTTTATATAGAAGGGAGAGTAGGTAAACTGATTTTTTTTTTTTTTTAACAGGGAGGGTTTCTCAATCTTTGGCAGACAGAGGAAAAGATTGGGGTACATTTCATACCTCTGGTAAAAGTTGCTGTCTAAACAGAAGTTTGTTTTAAAGACTTTGGAATTTGGCAATTGGTTAGAATGCACATTATTTTCACCTCATTCACACTTTAAGAACCAGAGAAGTGTTGCTTGACCTTAAAACAAATTTTGGCAAGTGTGTTAAAAGTCCTTGAGTATTTTGCTTCTGTATAATTTCTAATGTATTTGTAATTTACCTAAGAGATCACCTATGTTAATGTATTTATGAAATAAAAGATGACTGTACATGTTTGTGGTTCGTTTTTATGTGGAAATGGCTGTGGTAACTTCAGCCGAAAATCTGTATGAATGCTACTGCTTAAGGAAACTAGCATGACAGCTTCCCTTCTGAAGGCCCTAAGGCCTCGTCTTAGGTGGGTTCACCTTGGGTCCAGGTTTTTGTCGTTTGGGTTGTCATCATTTTTTGTTGTTGTTTTTCCTTACTCTATGACTTCTGACTTTTGATAACAGCTAAGTGTTGTCACTTGTTTTCGTTTCATCATTTTCCCTGTGTAGTGGGGGTTTTTTGAGACTGCATTTCACTTTTGTTGCACAGGCTGTAGTGCAATGGCATGATCTCAGCTCACTGCGACCTCAGCCTCCCAAGTAGTTAAGATTACAGGCATGCACCGCCATGCTCAGCTGATTTTTGTATTTTCAGTAAAGACGGGGGTTTCTTTGTTAGGCTGGTCTCAAACTCCTGACCTCAGGTGATCCACCCACCTCAGCCTCCCAAAGTTACTGGCGTTACAGGTGTGAGCCATTGCACCAGCCTGGATGCAGTTTATTGGGAAAATGGATGTTACATCCTGACCAATATGACCATAAGACTGGGTTGAATGCAGGATTAGTTTTTAAACCAATCCTTTAGTGTCCCGCAATGTAGTGGAGGAGAACCTGTAACAGGGAGGTTGTATCACTAGCTGATGAGCTAGTTAGGCCTTTGCTACCTGTACCTAAGTGGTGCAACTCAGTCTGAAACTTGCCAGAACTGCTGGCCTCATGTTATGAGTCATAATGGAGCCTTTGTCAAGCCCCCTGCACTGGCTGCCAACAAATGTTCAGTAACCTGAAGGATGGGGACTAGTGGGGAACCATCTAGAAGGTAAAGTCTAGTTACTGGCATATGGGGAGGTGGGACAGCCATGAAGCCATTTGGAAGATGAAGGGGACAGGTTAGAGGGAGGTGGGTGAGACTGGAGTTTGGTGGTGGACCATAGAGCTTGGAACTGTTAAGGGCAGGATTGGTTTGACAATGGGAGCTAGTTACTAGCTGATCTTGGGGAATACAAAGCTTGATTTTCCTTAAGCTAAATGGTCCCAACACTGGGAGGATGAGGTGGGCCGATCTCTGCTCACTGCAACCTCTGCCTCAGCTTCAAGCAATTCTCCTGCCTCAAATTCCCGAGTAGCTGGGACTACAGGCAGGCAACACCATGCCCTGCTAATTTTTGTATTTTTAGTAGAGACAGGCTTTCACCTTGTTGGCCAGGATGGTCTTGATCTCTTGTCCTCATGATCCACGTGGCTCAGCCTCCCAAAGTGCTGGGATTATAGAGGTGAGCCACTGTACCCTGCAAGTTGGGTTTTAATACCGCATATTCCCATGGGAACAGAAAGGCTAATTGGCCAAGTCCACAGCTAGAAGTGGCACCTCTGCAGAAACAGACATTCCCTGCTCAAGAAGCCAGATGAGTCAGTCCCATTCATATGTGTGTTCCCAGTCCCATCTGTGTCCTGCTCTAACTACACAGATCTCTCCTGAGTAAAATGTTTTTTAATCTGAACCAATGGGTTTAGTATGTTTTCAATTCATATTCTCAGGGTTGGGTTAGGTAACTGCAGTGCTGGGCAGGAAGTGAATGCATTTCTTTTTTTTTTTTTTTTCCCCCCACCCCGAGACGGAGTTTTCGCTCTTGTTACCCAGGCTGGAGTGCAATGGCGCGATCTTGGCTCACCGCAACCTCCGCCTCCTGGGTTCACGCAATTCTCCTGCCTCAGCCTCCTGAGTAGCTGGGATTACAGGCACATGCCACCATGCCCAGCTAATTTTTTGTATTTTTAGTAGAGACGGGGTTTCACCATGTTGACCAGGATGGTCTCGATCTCTCGACCTCGTGATCCACCCGCCTCGGCCTCCCAAAGTGCTGGGATTACAGGCTTGAGCCACCGCGCCTGGCCATGAATGCATTTCTATCTACCTTCAAGGTATAGCTGAAGCAAAGCTGTCAGTGGGTGTTCAGGTTCCACTCTGCTAAACTTCAGCTTGCAACACCCCTTCCTTTAGACTTTCAAAACAGGCACTTCTGGGCTGGGCATGGTGGCTCAAGCCTGTAATCCCAGCACTTTGGGAGGCGGGTGGATCACGAGCTCGAGAGATCGAGACCATCCTGGTTAACATGGTGAAACCCTGTCTCTACTAAAAATACAAAAAATTAGCTGGGCAAGGTGGTGCGTTCCTGTAGTCCCAGCTACTCGGGAGGCTGAGGCAGGAGAATTGCCTGAACCCAGGAGGCGGAGGTTGCAGTGAGCCAAGATCACGCCACTGCACTCCAGCCTGGGTAACGAGCGAAACTGTTTTTTTAAAAAAAAAAAAAGGCACTCTGGCCTTGTTCTTTGTGTAGGCAGACAGTATTGGTTACCTAACTTAGTTCTAGACTGCCTGGGTTTGAATCCTGATACCAACACTTGCTGTTCATGAGATCTTGGGTGAGTTACTTAGCCCCTCTACCTCAATTTCATGTCACAAAATGACTGTCTCCAGGCTGGAATACAATGGAGCCATCTACCTCCCAGTTTCAAGCAACTCTCTTGCCTCAGCCTCTGGAGTAGCTGGGACCACCATGCCCAGCTAATTTTTTTTTTTTTTTATAAGATGGGGTTTCACCATGATAGCCAGGCTGCTCTTGAACTCCTGACCTCAGGTGATCCGCCTGCCTTGGCCTCCCAAAGTGCTGGGATTATAGGCATGAGCCATGGCGCATGGCTCTCCTTGCTAGTTTTATTCCTACTTTGCTCTATCATTTATTGAGAGAAGAGTATTGACATTTCCAACTATAATTGTGGATTTTTATATTCCTTCTAGCAGTTCTATCAGTTTTTGCTTCATATATCTTGAAGTTCTGTTATTAGCTGTATACATGTTTTAGATTGTGTCTCTTGATTAACTGACTCCTTTAAATACTCTGCTGAGAAATCTTTGTCTGCCACTCCAGTTTTTTTTGTTTGTTTGTTTGTTTTGTTTTTTTTTTTTTTGAGACGGAGTTTCGCTCTTGTTACCCAGGCTGGAGTGCAATGGCGCGATCTCGGCTCACCACAACCTCCGCCTCCTGGGTTCAGGCAATTCTCCTGCCTCAGCCTCCTGAGTAGCTGGGATTACAGGCACGCGCCGCCATGCCCAGCTAATTTTTTTTTGTGTGTGTGTTTTTAGTAGAGACGGGGTTTCACCATGTTGACCAGGATGGTCTCGATCTCATGACCTCGTGATCCACCCGCCTCGGCCTCCCAAAGTGCTGGGATTACAGGCTTGAGCCACCGCGCCCGGCTCACTCCAGGTTTTTATCTTCACAAAATTGTAAGGTAGGATTTCTTTTTTTTTTTTTTTTTTTTGAGACGGAGTTTCCCTCTTGTTACCCTGGCTGGAGTGCAATGGCGCGATCTCGGCTCACCGCAACCTCCGCCTCCTGGGTTCAGGCAATTCTCCTGCCTCAGCCTCCTGAGTAGCTGGGATTACAGGCACGCGCCACCATGCCCAGCTAATTTTTTGTATTTTTAGTAGAGACGGGGTTTCACCATGTTGACCAGGATGGTCTCGATCTCTTGACCTCGTGATCCACCCGCCTCGGCCTCCCAAAGTGCTGGGATTACAGGCTTGAGCCACCGCGCCCGGCCGTTCTTTTTTTTTTTTTTTTTGAGACGGAGTTTCGCTCTTGTTACCCAGGCTGGAGTGCAATGGCGCGATCTCGGCTCACCGCAACCTCTGCCTCCTGGGTTCAGGCAATTCTCCTGTCTCAGCCTCCTGAGTAGCTGGGATTACAGCAACGCGCCACCATGGCCAGCTAATTTTTTGTATTTTTTTTAATAGAGACAGGGTTTCACCATGTTGACCGGGATGGTCTCAATCTCTTGACCTCGTGATCCACCCGCCTCGGCCTCCCAAAGTGCTGGGATTACAGACTTGAGCCACCGCGCCCGGCCTTATTTCTATTTTTTATAATAAACAAATTCTGAAAACACGCAATTTTCTCATAACTGCATACCTCCATCTTTTTTGTTTTTCTTTTTTTTTTTTTTTTGGACAGTCTCACTCTGTTGCCAAGGCCAGAGTGCAGTGGCGTAATCTCGGCTCACTGCAACCTCTGCCTCAGGAATAGCTGGAGTTACAGTCATGCACCACCACACCCAGCTACTTTTTTATATTTTTAGTAGAGATGAAGTTTCACTATGTTGGCCAAGCTGGTCTCAAACCCCAGACTTTAAATAATCTGCCCACCATGGCCTCCCAAACTGCTGGGTTCACAGGCGTGAGCCACCTCACCTGGCCACCAGCTTTCTTTTGACCAGTGTTACAACAGTAGCCTGGGTAACATGGCAAAACCCTGTCTATCCAAAAACCACAAAAATTAGCCAGGAGTGGTAATGTGTGCCTGTGGTCCCAGCAACTGGGAAGGCTGAGATGGCTCACTTGAGCCCTAGAGGTGGAGGCTGCAGTGAGCTATGATTACACCACTGCATTGTAGCCTGGGCAACAGAGCAAACTCTGACTCAAAAACAAAACAAAAAAAGTGTATCTTTTTTTTTTTTTTGAGATGGAGTCTCACCCTGTCACCCAGGCTAGAGTGCAGTGGTGCGATCTCAGCTCACTGCAATATCCGCCTCCCAGGTTCAAGTGATTCTCCTACCTCAGCCTCCTG